AGTACACCCCACTCCCCAAGCTGACCTCTGTTCCTGCTGCAGGGCCCCCAGTACACCCCACTCCCCAAGCTGACCTCTGCTCCTGCTGCAGGGCCTCGGCGTGCTGCCGGCTCTCGCTGTGCCACAGCTGCAGCTCGTTCTGCATGGCATCCACGTCCTCCTGGAGATAGTCCATGATCTTGCCCAGGGGCAGCGCGCTCCGGCACAGCGTCTGGATGGACGTGCGCAGCTTCTCCATCTCCTTGCAGGCGATGTCCTTCTCCTTCCGCCAGGCTGACTCGTAGACCAGCGACTTCTCCTGCAGCGGGCCGGGAGACAGGGCTCAGCCCAGGAGCACGGGGCCACTCACACATGCCCTGCACCCGGATGGGGAGCAGGCCTCCGATCGTAGGCCCTCACCGCCACTCTGACACACGCAGAGGAGGGTGCGTGGGCGGTCAGGCACCTGGACGCGGGCTCCTCAACACTCCAGCCTCCCGTCCCCGGGCAGGGGGCCTCTGTCTGCACAGCTGTCTGAGGGCCACACCTCACAGGCTTAGCGCCCTCAGTGACCTTCCCAATGGGCTCCCTCGAGGGAGTGGCCCTGGGTCTGGTTACGCAGAGGGGCCACCTGTCTGTACTAAGCAGCCCTGCGACCAGCTCCCCAGGAGTCGGTAGGGGGTGCGCCAGACACAGGAGGGAAGCAGCGTAGGAGGGGTCTCAAGACCACGTGTGGCTGAGGGCTGACAGGGTGGGAATCTTGGGTGAGGAAGGGGAGGGAGGCGGGTGGGGACCTGTACTCCCTTTGAGTTCTTCTCCCAGACCGCACTGGGATTCAGGGGCTGGTGGCGTCGGTCAGGATGAGGAACTTCTCCTGAGAAGACGGCCGTTTCTCCAGGAGCCTTTTGAGCACCATCCCAGCCATCTCCCAGGGCCCCGGGGCCCCAGGCCCCAACTTCCCCCCACTGCCAACGCCAGCGAGACGCTGTCCGCTGCAGGTCACTAATGTCTTGTCTATGGTCTGTCCTCGAGTGCCTGCCGAATGGGCGGATGAACAGAGGGTCACCCTGTTCATCGAAGGAGCCTGGCCTCTGTGCGACCGCCGGCAAGCACACAGGAGATGCCAGGCAGCGGGACTGAAAACACGGCGGGAAGCTCATGGACTGACGTGTGACTCATGAAGGGCGGGACGTGAGGTGTACACACAAAGCAAACGGCACCGACAGTCGGCGATGAACGAGCAATGCCCCCGACGATCCCGTTTCTTTTTAAATACTTTTATTGGGGGCTCTTACGACTCTGATCACAATCCATCCATCCAGTGTGTCAGGCACATTTGCACATATGCCGCCATCACCATTTTCAAAGCCTTCTCTTCCCACTTGAGCCCCTGACATCAGCTCCCCATTTCTTCCCCTCTCTCCCTCCCTCCCTCACAAACCCTTGATAAGTTATAGATTATTTTTTCCTTATCGTACATCTTCCTCCGTCACCCTCACCCACTTTTCCGTTATTCGTCCCCCTGGGAGAGGGTTCTAGTTGACCCCTGGGATCGGGTCTCCTTTTCTACCCTCACCCTCCCCTAATCCTGCTGGTATCTCTACTCTCCTTATTGGCCCTGTGGCGATCACCTTTCAGAAACAAAATACGTGGGTGTAAACGTAACGAGGCACGTGTAGGCCCTGCGTGCTGAAATCCACAGAGCTGATGAAAGAAGTCAGATAGGAGAGACAGCCCATGTTCACGGGCTGGAAAGACTAAGGCAGAAAACTGACATAGAGGCCGGATGTGATGCCCATCAAAATCTCAGCGGAATCTCGTGTAGGTATAAGATCACCTGGTGGTGTAGCGAGTGCACACCTTGGGCTGCTAACTACAAGGTCAGCAGTTCAAAACCACCAGTCCTATCTGGGAGGGAGATGAGGCTTTCTACTCCGGTCAAGAAGTGGATGAAGCCTGCAGGGACAGAGCTGTCCTGTCCCATAGGGCTGCTATGAGTTGGAATCCACTCGATGGCAGTGAGTTAGGCTTGATTTTTTGGCTTTTTTAAGATTATTCTAAAATGTATATGGAAAGGCAAAGAAACTAGCATAGCCAAGCTCATTTTGAAAGACAGAAATGGGGCAGAATTGATCGACCCAGTTCCAGGCCTTGTTACCGAGCCACAATGCAGCCCGCCTGGCACATCGATCAATAAAACCCAACAGAGAGCCTAGGAATAGACCCGAACAAATACGTCCAACTGATTTCTTTCCACTCGACAGAGGGTATTGGCCTTTTCAATAAACTGGGAAACCCCAGGGGTCCCCATGAGTCAGCAACAATGGCCGTGACACGGCTCTAAGACAGCGCAACCCTCGCACCGTCTACATTTCCCTCGAAGTTTCCTGCCGTGTCGCCAGGGAGCGCTTTCAAAAGCACAACCCTGACAGACTTTAAGTGAGGGGCCTCCAGGAAGGTCACAGGACAAGGGAACTGAAAGTGCGATTCCCTCGGTTTTCTGATGCCCCTCCCGCGCAGTTCCTGCGTCTCACCATCAACCTTCCCTGAGCAAGCGGGTCCCTGAGCCGGGCATCTGAGGGCTCCGTCCCCTGACTGAGTTTTGACAAAGGAAGAACAAGCCCGTTTCCAAGTACTAGGACGACATGAGGGCTGTCTGAGCATGAAGGGCCGGGGAAACTCAGTGGGTGGTCGGGAGGCTGTGCTCTGGAGCTGAGCATCTGGCTCTGCACCGCAGGGCCCAGGGCTTGGCTCAGCTTCTCCACCTTCGCTCGCTCCCACTGAGATGAAGAGTCATGCTGCAGGGTAGTGAGCTACTGAATGCGGCTCCTCCACCCAGAGTCTAACTCCCATCAGCCAACTTCCCTGTACTGGGCTCGTAAGACACTGGAGGAAGACACTGATAGGCTTCACCCTTGGAGAAGCAGCAGGAGGGGAGAGCCAGGAGTGGAACACATCCTCTGGATCCGAGATTTCTGCACAGGATCCTGGGTCCAGCAGACAGGGCGGCTACAGCATCAGAGGAGCAGCCGCAGCAGAACCCGGAGCCAGAGCAGCGGCTTCCCGCCCACGGAGCAACTCAGCTGGGTGCTTCTGTGCAGGAGGCTGGCTTGCGGAGTGGGGCGCCTCTGAGCACTTTGCCGGGGGAGCTGAGCGTGCTGACCCATGGGGCTGGGGCCTTTCGCCATGAGGCTGACAGCGGAGTGGTGTGCCCCTCTGGGCACTGAGCAGCAGACCTGAAGCTTTGTCACAGGTCCTGGCAAACAGCTACCCTTGAATCCTGAAACGCTGTGAGTTCCGTGCAGCCATCGAGTGGCTATTAGCACCCAGAGACCCAGTACAGGAGTGAAATAGAGAACATTAGGTCCGTGGGTGCGACTGGCATCAGAAGGGGGGCTCAATATGATGGCTCCAGACTCGTAAAGGCATGGGGGGTCTTACAGAGACAGGACTAAGAAAATCCGGGGAAGTGAAGCACTGATTGCGGGAATGGCTATGTCGGTGACTGCTGTGTGTAACGGACGGACGCAAGGGAGGAAGGACATGCTGCCACCGAGAGCACAGCTGCCCGGAGCTGGCCTGGGGGAAGGCTGGCCGGTCCCAGAGCGTATGCCCCTCAGCAGACACACTCCAGGGGTGGAAAAGAGATTAAGAAGGTTAAATAACCGCACAAACACGGGAACCACCACACACCTGCAACAGAGGAAAGGCTACGCTGGCTCTGGTACACTCACGCTACGCAATTTTAGGCATCAACCAACAATAATGGCAACTCTCTCAAACACCGCAAGACGTGGACAAAACGAGAGAGCATGGTGCTTGGCAAGCTCAGCCAATCTTAAAAAGACCGTTATTTACCATCACCATCATTATAAGGGAAGAGAACGAAGAAGAAACATGGTCTGGGCATCAGTCGATGAG